TGATTGGTTCAACTTCTTCGGTTTGTGGGACGCTGTTCGCCATGGGCTCGACATAGATGGGAGGGGGGAAGACAACTCTGGAGGGAGACAGCCCTGTAACCAGAAGCCAGCGGTCCGAGCGGAGCGGCAGGAAAGACCTACCGGTCGGTGTGAAAAGCTCCAGCGTTGCCGGTGAGCAAGGCTTGGCCTCCACGGCCCGGTTCCGCACGCCGACGACCAGCTGGATCGGCTTTCACTGCTCCAGCCCGGGGACACCAACAGCATAGAAAGCAGTTTGGCGGCACTGCGGTGGGCGGGGTGTCCTTGCAGCAGAAACTTGGGCCTGGTTATTTCCTGCGGCTCGCGGCTCGGGACCGGAGAAACTGGTGGCGTACGGCCCCGACTGTCAGCGTTGCCATGGGACCACCCCCTGCGGTGCCAGCTAATGCGGCATGCTTCCAGCGGCAAAAAAGGGGCCTGAGCGGCGGCGGAACAAGACACTGGGCAGCACGAACTGAGCACAGTCTTGATAAGCAACAAGCCAAGGCCCCGCGTCCCTCCTGCCGCCGCTTAGTTCATGCTGCCCAGCATCTGCCTGCCTGCCTGCCTGCTTGCAGGCCTCCGTGCTCCTTCCCCGAAGCATGCAATTGCTCAGAGCCCGTCCCAAAAGGTGCTGCTTCCCTGGTAGGAGCCGAGTTTGCAAGCCTCATTGGCAAGCTGGGAAAACCGAAGGTCCGGAGGGTTCCCTCCTGTTGTGGAGCTGCAGTGCCTAGCCCTGGGCTGACGGGGGAGGGGATGGGGGTATCCAAGGCCTAAAAAGTCCTCCAGGACAGGCTCAGGGCCGGCCCTCTTTCCCCGGCCGCAGGAGAAGGGGAGGCGCAGGCTCTCCACCCGGGCGGGCAGGTAAGCAAAACTCCGAAACCTTTTGCGTTCATTTGCAAAGAAGCAGTGAAAGCTGGTCTAGCTGGTCATCAGGGTGCGGAACTGGGCTGCAGATGCCAGGCCTTGCTCACTGGCAACGCTGGAGCCTCCCACATCAACCAGTAGGTTTTCCATGCCGCTCTGCTGCGACCGCTGCCTTCTGGCTGGGTGCTGCCTCCCTCCGGAGCTTTCTTTCCCCTCCCGGGCCATGCGCCACCGGTGTCTTCTCTTTGCAAATGAATGCAAAAGGTTTCGGAGTTTCGCTCACCCGCCCACCCGGGTAGAGACCAGAGTTGGTGGCTCTAACGTCTACTATCGTTGGCTGCAATCCTATCCACCTGTTTTGTCCAACTGATTGCAAGCCAAGCGCTGCCTGGTTCTGTTTTAATAGCTCGGGGGGTGCGAAGCCCACTGAACTGAGTGATCCCAATGACCCAGTTGACTTTGCAGGAGCCTCCATCGGATTGGAACTTTACTGTCCGATTGAGCTCAGTTTAGGCAGGGCCATTCTTAGCATGGGGTTCACATGTTAGTTAGTGGGGCTGACTAATTCTCTGGCAAGGATGCCGCGCTCCGGCCTTCCTTCAAAGTGCCGTCCTCAGAGGGATACTCCAAGGCACTTTTAGCCGGCTCCTTTGGCGCGGCCCCAATTCTGCTCTGGGGAAACAAGGGCGGGGCGGAGCGGGGCAGCACTGCCTATATCAGTCACGTGGAGGGCCTTGTAAACACCACCAGAAATAGGGGAGACATGATAGTAGTGTTCCAGTACTTGAGGGGCTGTCAGAAATAAGAGGGGGTCACGTCATTCACCAAACCACCAAAGGGCAGGACAAGAAACAATGTTGAAAACTGACCAAAGAAAGAAGCAACCTGGAATTAAGGAGAAACTTCCTGACAGTGAGGACAATCGTGGGCGCTCCATCAATGGAGATTTTTTACAAAGAGGCTAGACAGTCACTTGTCCGAGATGGTATAGGTTCTCCTGCTTGAGCAGGGGGCTGGACTAAAAGACCTCCAAGATCCCTTCCAGCGCTATTCTATTCTAAATTGTATGTTTATTTGCAAATGGTGAAGTTAAAAAAATGAACATAAGTGCACTATATTGAACTATATATTAGAAAACTAGTATGGTGCTATTGCTTTTAGAACAATTCTGTTTCTTAATAATTAGATGTGATAAAACCTCTTCATAAAGTCTGACTATTAAGTGTTTTGGAAAACCCATTAAGGAAACTACTTTCTCACTCACAGACACACAGAATGTTTACAATAGACAGATATATAGACAATTGATTAGACTTAGATCATCTCAAAAAAATATGTTTACTATAAATGTTATACATCCACACTTTAATTTGGGGGTGATTGTCCCCTCAAATTTTATGAACTTACCCTCAAAGCATCATGTTATACTAAAAATGATAATGTAAGTTTATTGTGGTTTTCTGTTACTGTATTTCCCAAGGGTATAAGAATAGTAACTGCTAGAAGACACAATGATTGAGTCTTTGATTTTATGCAGCATAGGCCAGTTTTGTTACTCTAGTTCCTAATGGATTAAAATTTGGGAAATATATATCAGAAAAAAAAATATTTTTTTCCTTTCCTACAAAAGTAGGCAGACATACTTACAGCCCATGTTGATTTAGCAATTGGAAATTTAGCATTATGTTATATTTTTAAGTGGCTTTTTTCTAAAGAAGGTAATTCATTGTATTGCACTTCCATAGGGATTTTTTTTTTCAAAAACAGGGCACTGCAACACTTTATTACCCTCATTTTAAAACTCAATCAGACAGGACTAAAAGCGGGGGCTGGAATAATTATTTGTCCATATTCTGGAAATTATGCATTTACAAACTGCTATTGGTGCTTCCAGACATTTCAAGCCATCCTCCATGAGAGTTCATCTCAGGAAAAGAAAAGGGCGAATTAATTGGGGAAATAGAGAAAAATACAAGATCAATTTGGAATTAATACAGATATATAGCTTTGAAATTTGGGGACTAAAAGTACCTTTGAGACTTTTTTTTTTAGAAGATATTTGAAAGTCTGTAAAATAGGCTTGGATTTGGAAAGCTGGAAAATGGTGTCAATGACATCTAGTGGTGAATCATGGCACAACAATTTATTATGCTTAAAGGAACCGTGGCTTGAAGCCCAGACTTAGATAAGACTCTTTGTTGTTCCTGGAAACTTTCACTTTTAAAGACTGCAGCTGGGAAAAGGGGGAAAAACCTCTTGGGCTGCTTATCTGTATTAGGGACTCTATTGGATTATAAAGACTACATACAAAAACAAAATGGGTGTTCCATACTTAGCCACAAATGGTAAAAAAAACATCTTTAACACTTGTTTCTGAAGTTCCCAGCTTGAAACACCAGCAAGAAAATGTTAATGAATCTCAAAGAAATTCTTTCTATGTTGAAATCAATCCAAAAGACAATTGTTTTATTTCCTGAAGATTAAAAATAACACAAATGAGATAAAAGAATAATTTTCTAACCTAAACTTACAGATCCAGACAATGACTACAAAGAAGGAACTAGTAACCCAGAAAAGAGAAATAAAATTAGAAAAAAATGGATCCAAATGTGAAGGACCTAAAGGAATTAACAGACAGAAACAGACAAATGAAAAATTAGAAGATGCAGTGATAACACCAGAAATGAAAATGATATCTTACTTGTCAAGATCTCAGAACACATTTGAGGATAAGGAAGAAGAGCTGATCGAACAGATGATAAAGCTGTTAGGAATATTAACAAACAAGAAATGAAAAGAAAAACTGAAGGAGAAGGATGGAGGCTGTTTAATGAATATAAATGGGTTGAGCATTCTTCCAAAAATACTCCAATCAAATTCTCTTCCTCATTCCAAACAATATATACAAAAACAGAGGAAGAATTACTTGATTATTCAAATGCACTGACTTGGAAAGTTATTTGGCAAAGGAAGAAAGCTACAGTAAGACTGAAGAAAATATAGGTTTTGACCTATTAGATGGGATATTATACTATTAAACAGATGTTTGAATATGGTTAAGAAAATAGGTAACTTTTAGAAATAAAAGTATTATTATAAATAGAGGGATAGGATTTATAACGAGAATATACTTCGTTATGAGATGGGAAATATGAAAATTTAAAAAGTGTTCAAATAAGGGGAGCTTTTGGTTACCCAAATATAATTTGTTATTAGAACATTATAAGCGATAAGAGATATTTTGAACATTGATGGGAAATTAAAAAAGCAGGAAAAACAGGATATTGATTGAACAAATGGATTTTAAGTGCAAATACAATTGAGATATGTTCTGGCTAGAAACATATATAAACTGACACTATCAATATTATGTATAATACCAGAAAAATGTGATGAAGATGTCTATATTTAATTGTATATGCATTAACAGTAACAAGAATTGTATTTGCCCAGTGTGGAAAAATGCATACCACCGGAAGAAGAGAGGACCAAGGAAGCACTGGATGGTGTAGTATTGGAACTAGACTGAGAAAGTTAATATGTACCACTGAATTACCAATGGATCCAGATAACACATTGTTTATTAAGTACTCATGATTGTAAAATTCGAAAATTAATAAAATATTTATAAAAAAGACTCCACCCCGCTCGTTAACCATTGAGCCATAGCACCCCTTAACATGACTGTATAACCAATTAAAAATACATTGATGTAGCTTACAAAGCTGAATGATTACTTTACAACACAAACAGGAACACTAACCCATAGACTAGGATAATGGATAGAGGATGATATATGCATGATGCAGCCTTTGCTTTCCTGTTCCACTGTATGTATTTTTCAGTATACAGAACTGCATGCAAAAATTATTTTCTTGTGCTAGAGAAATATAGCATTAATATTTAATAACTCTTACAATTATAGAAACAGAAATATAAACATGCAAGGTATTGGGATGTTACAATCTGATTAAGGGTAAACCTTAGGAGAACATAACCTATTCTCTATTCTCTAAAAACTGCAAACAAAAATGCTTAATTTTCACATATATCATCATGTCAACATAAGCGTTCTAATAAACAGGCAGGTTTGACAGAAAATAAATGTAGGTGGGTTTATTTTACCATATATTTTATGTGTGTTCTTTATATTATGATATGATACAACATAAAATTCCAAACACTGAGTACAATCATTGTGCAAGAGCAGATTTAGAAATCAAACACAACACAAATATTCATAAAGCCACAAATATTACATTACTGGATATAAAACTATGCATGTTATGTTTTGTTTAGTATATAGAATAGAAACAAACAGCTTGGTTAAAATAAATACAGCAAATGTATTAACAGTTCCCATACATGGAATCTGAAAATATATGTATTTTCTTATAGTGCAGAAGAAAAATTAAGGCATTTGTTACCTAGCAATTGCTAAGAATGTAAAACGGTTTAGCTTGGACAGAGCTGAGCACCCAATTTCCGCTGTAAAAAAATCAACATTACTAGACAGCAGCTGAACAATACAGAAAAATGCTCTTTGCTGCCATCTGGTAATTTCCAGATATATGCAACTCAGATGCAGTACTGCAATGATGAAGAGAATCATCATTGAGTTGTTTTCCTGGGTCTTGCCAAGGAGCCTTATTGGTCTTGGACTAGAACTTAGGGTAGATCTGCCAAGAATGAAGGTCCAGAGGCAGAAATGGCCCAGCTTCTACTACCTTATACTGTCCTACCTTATATTGTCAAGAACTTGAGTTCTTTTTTGGCCTCTTATGCAAGTTACTACTTTTTATTATTTGGGTGAGATCAAACAGGTGGTTGACATACCACCCCCCCCAACACACACCTCTCCCTATCAAATGAAGATATTAAGAAATCTGTTTTATATTCCAAAGCATCATTAATAGTTCCAAGGTAATAAAATTTAATGGCTCTTACACTGCTCTAGCACCGTTTGATGGGTCCTTCCCTTAGCAAAGCATTATGATCCAATGATGGCTTTGGAAGATCCTATACTGCCAGTCTTGAATTTCTAGCCTACGAAGATTTGCCTCCTCACATTCCCTAATATGGCTGACTGTGGACAATGGGAGTTATAGTCCAACATGTTTTGACACAACTCTTCTCAGTATATCAATGTTCTGGATGGAACTTCATTATTTACTGCAATGAATGAATGGGATTTCTGTGCCACCGAACAGTGACTTGATTCTATACAAAGGGATGGTACTAGGGAGGAGAAAGAATTATCTTGATCATGCTTTAAGGATAATCCTTAAAAATAAAAGGATCATCTTGATCTTGGCTTTGCCAGTATGTAGTGGGATTGGGGCAAGCTTTTAACAAGACTTAAACCTATCCACTATGTCTGATGATAACAGCAGATATATGAAACCAGTAACTTTTTCATACTTGTGCAATTACTTTACATCCTCAGTCCACATCTTTATGACCAATATCAGAAAGTTTTACAAATATGTCTTTGGTTTTCATTGGAATTAATGTCATAATTATTCCAACATTTATTTTTAGAAGCAATTCCCCAAAGTATTTTGTGTAAGGTAGCCATATATGCGCATGTGGGCATACATGCACACACACACACACACAAATTAATGCCATGTACTTGGAGTGAATTCAGTAAACCTCTTTTTCAAATATGCAATGCCAGGAGGCCACATGAAGATTATGCTACTTTAAATGCTACAGCTTCTTCAATGGGGAAAAAAATACAGAATTCTGAAGTATTTTTGCATAGGAAAGCATGAATGTTGTGGTGGGAATAAGGGACTGGCATATTATTTTAGTCAATGTTTTAACAAATATTATGTTAGTTTTATTCATAGCAAAAAAAAGTTTAAGAATCTTACAGACATTAGCATTTTTCATTTTCTTTGAATTTCCTGTGAAGTCAAACATGCGCTAAGGGAGAAGGCAGAATTTCAAGTTTCTCCCTCATGGCTTCTGTGACTAGATGCTGTACTAAAGTTTTAACTATACTCCAAATATTACTGGAGATAGAATTTAAAACCAAATTAACATAAGCTGATGCAACAAAAAGCATGAGTTTCATATCTGTCCAATTAGTGACCATCAGACCTCATTATTCCCACTAATCATGTATAAAAAAATCCTGATTAAAAAAAAAATCAGTCACCTAGCTAAAGTAGAACAGCAGGAACAGAGAAATGGACAATGCTGCTAAACTTTTAAGAGACAGATGGGCATGTATCTTATGTTTTACTTAGATCATTGCAAGAAGGACAGACCAGGACTGGCTGTAATCATGAAATGACATACATTTTATAGTCATGAACATAACTGAAATAAATGAATTGGTACTAATCTGTTAAGATTAATATTCACAATGAAAGATTGAAAGTGTCCTTTTTTCATTACCTCTTTCTTATGATATCATGGATTTCAACTCTGTATGTTTCTTTAATTTCAAAATGTTTGCAATGTGTTAGATGCAAATTTTGAGAACTTCAGTGTAACATCTGGGAGACACTATCTTGGGGAAGCCTTATTTATGATCTTCAACATGTTAAATAATCAAACCTTTATCTACATAATTTCTTGATATCATAAATTACTATTCTTCCCTTTCATGATAGAATACTATTATTTGCTTTATTGATCTATTTCATTTCAGGTGATTCTAACAAAAACATCACCAATTCAAAACTTTTTTTTTTAGTTCCAGCCAACTATTATTGTCTTTTAAATTAATAAAGGATTTTCAAAGCAGATACCTTCACTGAAATAGATAATTCATATCAAATCCTGTCCAGCAGTTACCTATTACCAAGTCTTAACCACAGTCATAATATAACTTTATCATTAGGCTCCAATTGCATAAACAAAAATACACAATGGCCTCCATTCAGCATTATGAGTCACAGCATATGGGAACGTTATCCTATGTAAATAATTTGAAGGATCTTCCAAATGATGGTCATTTATTTTAAGTATCCCTCATATTTCAAATATCTTGGGATTATTATTTATTATTACACATAACGCCTTTTGCGACTTCTGTAATATTTTCTATAGCCATCCAAGCATCAGAGTGCCAAAGTAACAGTAATGTGGACAGCTTTCTATTATTTCAGCAATGGCCGGATGTTGCTATGAAGAAACTACATTTCACGGCTCGGAAAGTATCCTTGGTTCATCCAATGTGTAGGAAATACTGTTCTTCAAAGCAAATTTCTTTTAAACCCCAATCTCTTAGGTTCTTGGAGTCATCTATGCCAATGCAATTAACATACATAACTATCCAGCCCAAAGTTAAGTTCTCTACTAGTGTACTAATTGTATGTGTTTAGCAACGTAATACTGACATGAAAACTAATTTATAACTGGAGCTTACCCTTAGTAGCCACAGATTTGGAGAATAGTCACACTACAGCTACAAACTTGAACCTTAGGGCAGTAGAACAAGCTGACTTGGGAATCATTAAGTGCTCCTTTCTATTTAAGCCATTTTTCAGAGAGATAATAGAGAAAACCTGTAGTACAAATGAAGAAGGGAACTGGATCAGGTGATCCTCAACATCCCTTCTAACCTGATGACTGATTCTAACTCCTAGACATTGTGCAAATTCTCAGTTGTTGAAATCGAAGTTAGGGATTGGGTTTATAATACAGTACAAGACTAGACAACAAACAATTTGACCAGATTTCTTCTCCTTTGTTTCGCCAGTGTGGGACAATATGCCAAAAAAACAGATGAAAAAGCCACATTTTCACTTCAGAAACTGCCTTAAAGCTCAATGTCGAATAAATATACATTTTTTGATAAGCAAAACTATACATTATTTTTTAAAAAATCTTTTTTTAAATTCCTGGGAGAGGGGTAGAAATAAAACCAACAATAAATTTACTAATTAATAATAAATTCAGTAATTATGCTTTCATCATATTCATATCCATAAATTATTACAACATTCAAGATTTATAATTTTGCGTGTAGAAATTAAAGTTATCTTCCTATAAAAACCTGCAACTCAGACATGTTATACAAAAGCTAAAACTATATAAAAACATTTCCTCTTTATTCAATAATTGTATAGCATATAAATGACTTGCAATTACTCTAATTTGTAACAATTTACGTATGTTTAAAACTATTTAATACTTTAAAATTTAAAAATATAAGTAGTCTTTACTTGTAAATTCTGTAACAAAGGTGTGACTATGTTATTGGCACATAAGTAAATTTAAAGCAATAGACAATAATAAAAAATTGGGGAGAAAGCATATCAATGTTTAAATGTTCATAACTTGTTGCTGCTCCTCCTACAGGGCAAGTCTTTTAGCTGGTAGCTGTGCGGGCATGCATGCGTTTTGCTACATCATAAACATAGGTTATATCTGGTCGTTTCTCTGGATCTGGGTTGATGCAGATGTTAACTAATTGTCGCAGCTAGAAAAAGAAAAGAAAAAAAGGGCATATAAAAAAGAAAGAATTAAAAAGAAAAGTACTCCTGCAGGCAAAATTATGAGAATGCTTTTCTCCTACAAGTTCAATGCAAATTATAAATGCTGGGAAAGCAAAAAAAAAAAAAAAAGCAAGGCAGTAACTTTTAAATATGTGCTTTTTAATAAAAACAATATCCTTTAAACTACTGCATTTCCTTTCATATAATTATTTACATACTTTTAATCACAGCAGTTTTGCAGGAGTCCAGGCTGTATTTAATAGTACAAATCTCCTATTATATAAGTACAAGATATATAAAATGGCCACACTGGACAGGAGGGTGCTTAATGATGTTTCCATGACGGACTTTTCACTAATCTTAAAGTTGCTTAAAACTATTATGGAAACAAACTGGGTTCTCTTTTCAGTGACTCTGCAGAGACCTGAGGAATGCCTGCATGGAATGGAAATATTGTCATGGATTCTAAGACTTGCTATGCAGAAAGGAAAGACACATTATAAAATGAATATTTTAGGCTACAAATCTATTTATCTAAAACCACTGAAATCAACAAAATCACTGTTCACTCTTTGATTTAATATGTAATGATAGCATCCAATCTTGAGTTTTATTTTAGATATGCAAAATTAGTACACATTTTTTCCACAAGATAGACTCTTTCCCCCTCTTTTCTGTTTTCAGTATAATAAAGCAGCAAGGAAAGTATGCGAAGTATGCTTAGAAAACATATTCGGTAAATATTTTTTTAAAAAAAGAGAGCAGTGTTAAAACAAATTATATAGAAAGAGGGGCATTCATTCTTCTAATTGTTCACCTGCTACTATTTCCAGGCTACCGCAGTCCTAGATCACAGGAGGGTTACAATATAATGAAATACAGTAGAACAATTATATTTTGATCTAATAATAAAAGAAAATCTCCCTCGGCAACATCAACAAATCACCAAATAACACCGGAGCATTTAATAATATTCTTGAATATCAACAGAAGACAGTGATCCTAATTTTAGACTGATTTCAGAACGAGGAAGCCATTAGCTTCTGATACCCACCCTGTACCTTCCAGAGAGTAAACACAAAGACAGCAGCATACCATCCCAGCCAGTCTACACTTGGAATGCGCCAGATTTACCTATGTAGGACCTAAGACTTGTACAGTTTACACATAATAACTAGCATCATCATTTCATATGCTGCCCAATTCTCTTGACTTGTACCTGGAACCAATGTATTTCCAGCATCAAGATACTATCCAGACTTAAAGGCTTTTACCCATTAAACACACAGACAGCTGCACTGTGCAGCTGCAGCTTTTGAGTGGCTTTCAAGTGCAACCCTATCTAGATTGAATTACAGTAGTTCAAGCATGAAAGTTCAAGCATGCAACTGTTGCCAGTGCATCAATAACCAACATGCATAGCACAACACCATTCCCACCATTCCACAGAGTTCTTAGCAGTAACTCTTCAAGCACTGCAAAGATAGCATAGGATTCTGGAAGTCTTAACATGACTAACAGAAACCTCTGCTTTTCAGTTACTTCTCAAAGTCAAGCAGGCAAAGGAGGCAACTTATTGCTTAGGTTGTTACAGAATAATGTGAGACCCTCAATTAGTTCAACTAGCTCCAGAAAGCCAGTTATTCTTTCTGCATTTCCATAGAACTGATTTAAAGAAACCGGATATATATACTGTGGACCTCGTCAAGCAACCTTATCAAAGAAGAATGTGAATGTGTGCAAGATCAGAAAACATATAATTAAAATGTACCGTACGTTATTAAATATTCACTAATGAAAATGCTTGTACTGTATTTCAGTAACATCTCCTGTGCTGTAGTCAAACTTTCAGCTAAAGTTGAAGGGAATGAATATGCATACAGACACATTCTTAATACTGTATTCTGGTCAAAATATTATCCGTGCTGATTAACTGGAGCAGAAAAGAGGGAAGAGAAACGATACGATCTAATTTTGTTCCTTTTCTGAATACTGACCTTGGGTTTGAAAACAAAAGGGTAATCGGTTTCTTTAAAATTGGAGTAGAATGAGGTAGACATCACGCATTTTAATAGCTGTGATTGGGGAGAAAGGCCTGTAGGTTTGATTTAAATCTTTCTAAGTGGTATCTCTTAAAACCTTGTCAGAATATGACCATTTGCACTGTGCTCTATGAACATCACTATGACCTTGAAGCATAAGAAGATATGTTGAAAGACCATGATTTCTTGCCCAATAGTCCAGTAGCACGATGAACAAGCCTACACCGTTCTAAGAACTGCCAAGAAGCTATTCTATTAACATGGAGCTTATAGCATCATTTGTATCTGGATGTCTTTGAAAACAGTAATTTGAATTGGGCTGAGTTAGAGAAGTCAGGATGGCTGCTAATTTTCCTTAACCTGTTCTGTGAACTTTGCTCAGTGACAGTATTATGTCTGAAGCTTAACCTGTTGATGGGACAAATTTATTTTTTACATTAACAGCAAGTTTGTCAGTCTCCAAGAGACAGAGAAAGGGAGACAGAGTAAGAAAATGTCCCCTCACAAATGTCCTCACAAAGGAGGACTAAAGCACTCTGGCCATGACACCAACAAACAAGATACCAAAATCTCCTGTTAAAGTACCAAAAAACCACAAAGAGGCATGCTCATTCTGGCGAGGATTCAGGGTGTACTCCATGTATTACTCACTATGAAATAGTGATTAAAGTGTAAACAAAGGCTTTAGTAGAAGCCCTGTCAAGTGACAGATATGGGAAAACCCACAAATACTGGGAGAGTAGACCGAGGAGCTTCTCAGAAAGGGATCTCAAGGTTGCATGGCGAACAGTTTGGAATGTCAGCCCTGCGCACAGAAGCAGTACAGAAAATAAGTTTCATGCCATTACATATATTTCAGTTTTGTCATTTTCCTTTCCTAAATTTTAAATTTTTAATAAAAATCCCAAGGTTATACTTTTTTTTTTTTACTTTTTCAAATAATCCAAATTAAACTTTTCCCATTCCCATTTGCAGGGGTAGGCAACCTCGGCGCTTTTATGACTCATGGACTTCAACTCTCAGAATTCCTGAGTCAGCATAGCTGAATTCTGGGAGTTGAAGTCTATGAGTCATAAAAGCGCCGAGGTTGCCTACCCCTGCCCATATGGCTTCATTGCCCTCTTTTCCCTTTGTGGAATTTGTTTGAGTGAGTGCGGTCAGGAAGTAGGATTTTTGGCTGGACACATGCAGGGGAGAAGCATCATTTGTTGGTGATCCCTTGGTTTAACCAGTCTGAATCTAGTGATGGTTTGGGAGTCTTTTCTAGATATAATAGAAATTAGCATAATTTTGAACCGATGCCTTAGACTGTTACTGCTTTGTCAAAATCAGATTTATTTATTTTTTGCTATAGTTTCAATGGGATCCAGAGGCAATATGAAAGTACTTAAAATATATATCTCTGATTATATAAGCGGAATTCAAAATGTAAAAATACAGTACTATCAATAGATTTGGACAGATTACTATATAAGGAGCCTAATTGAAATGGAGCAATTGAAGTGAAATCGTATTTTTAAAGTGAATGTTTTGCAACAGATATTTTATAACGTAGTTTAGATTGGATTTTAGAAAATTCAATGCACTGTTCTGAAGGCTTATTATAGAAAACATCTCTCTCATTTCTAACTTTATTTGAACAAGTATTTTACCTCCACAATTTCTATTCCAAAGACTATTTAAAAATACTGTAAGGACTACATATATTCATTTATGAGAGCCAGGAAAACTGCAGGGTATACTCTAGGCAGTCACCAGTATTGAACACTGACTTAAAGGTATCAATCCCCCAACCCCCCCCCCCAACTTAAATTCTTATTTTCCCATTTTGTTACTGTTAAAATTAACTTAAATATTAATTGCATAATATTACAAGATTATCTAAATATTTTAGTTAATAAAAAGATGCATCTTTTTTATTAACTAAAATATTTAGATAATGAATCTTGTAACAGTATGCAATTACTGTATTATTTAATTCAAAAATTAACTCTCAACTTTTCTTTTCAGTTTGCATATAATAAATAAAAGAGAAAATAAAACTGCCAATATCATATAAACATCTATTTGTGAAATGTATTTAAATACTGTATATACCTGCAGTCAAAATATAAAAATGCCCTCAGAGGGAATGGAATTTTCACCTACTTAATCAATGCATTATGATGGAGTTTTACTAAGCATTAAATACCTTGGAGAATCTTATTTTATATAGATTTACATTAAATATATTCCAATGTGATTCACATTTCATGGGGTATAATATTTTGTTTTGAAAAATGAGCACTCTAGTTCATATAGCCAACACTTAAGAGGGAAACTATATGCTAAAAAGGAACTGAAAATAAAAAGGATTCAAAATAAAATTCATAGTAATTAATTCCACTTAAAACTGGAAGAGGTATAAATATATGTAGTTTTGACCCACATATGTTCAGACTTTTTGGAGTTGGAAATGATAGCAAAAAGGGCAATTCTCCAGATTCTATTCCCCCATTCTTCATCTTTTTTGTAGAGGGAAAGCATATTATTCATCTGTCATGATACCATAATTCTTGACCAATGGATTTTAATTGTAGAAAAGCTGGAACAATGAAAGCACAGACCCAGCATTTTTAGCTTATGGGCAACTGAGCATTTGCAAGAAGGACAAATAAATGTAAATACAGTTGGAAGAAACAGAAATGTTTCCTTTCTATGAACTTCCCTTCCTCTCCCTCTACAATTTGACCTGTCCCCAACTTGTTGGGTGTTTAAATAATTCTAGGTCCATCCTGTGCAAATAACAATGGTGGGCAGTTAGAATTCATGTTTTGACTGGATTTGTACCTGCATGACCAGAAAAAGGATGAAGATAATCTAGGTTGCAAACATGTGCTACACCAGGGATAGTCAACCTTGGCTCTTTTATGACTCGTGGACTTCAATTCCCAGAATTCCTGAGCCAGCTTAGCTTAGCTGGCTCAGGAATTCTGGGAGTTGAAGTCCACGAGTCATAAAAGAGCCAAGGTTGACTACCCCTGTGCTACACGAAGACCAGAATGAGGAGCCTTTATGGTAACAGCCTAAGAAGCAAAGAGGAAAAATGCAAACTTTTGGGGAAGCAAACTTACTATCATCTTTTTATTTCTATATCATCATTAATGTAAAAATAAAAAAAGTCTCCAAAGACAAGGCTGTCAGATTTTTCTGCTAGTAAAATTCTCATTAATGAGCTGACCTTGAGATCTAGCACATATCCCTATACTAGTTTTTGGATGGTGTCTATTCATTTGCAGTCAAAGTCAGCCTTAGATCGCATCAGTGAGCTTGCTAGAATTATAGAGAGACAAATTGCATATATACAATTACTGCCCAGAACACACACAAAACATTGGTTTGTCAATTTCCCTCCTTCCTCCTCATCAAATATTTTTAACAGCAAAAAATGAAAAACATGCCGTCTTTGAAACCAATACCGTAATTAGGTAGTTTCAGAATATTGAAATGAGACCTCCCCTTTCATCAATTAGAAGCACTCTAGCTGTTCAGACATTAAAAGAAAAATGGAAATTAAATGCAGTTGTCAGCCTAAGGATCTAAGGAAGCGATGGAGCTATTCACAGAAAGGGCTTCAGATAAGGAAAGGAGCAACATTATCACAGCATATTATGTTGCCATATGAAATGAGGAGTGTTACCTGAGAATAAGAAACAAAAATGGGCACCCGAAGTTTTATCCAACCAGATCCTCACTTAGGAAGTATCAGTTGGTTTACATACTGAGAACTAACTTACACAGTGGTTCAAAGGCTGAAAAATATCAAATGGAATAAGTCTGCACTGTAGTAACTATCTACCAAAAGCGGAAATACATTAAAACAGATTTTAATTAAAAAAAAATTTCTTTATCTAAAAGCCTTGTGTCAAAAACAGGCAGAGGTTGATGCAAAAACACATCTTTGTACATATTTCTCTGTTCTACGACCCCTTAATTCTTCTGTTCAACTGGGATGAACCTTTCAGTCTACAGAAAAGTTTAGCCTACATTTTCTAGAAGTCTTTTGGATGCCGTGGTAGATATAATACAGTCTTCTTCTGTAATATAGAGCCTGTGCAAAACACAGAACATTAAAATGTACAGTTAACAGGGATCATAACTATACTCCTTTAAAAAAAAATACCAGTTTTGTTCTAAGTACAATTTTGGAACAATGAATTGTTCACAGTAATAGTATATCCTCTATTACTGAATTTTCCACTTTGTCAGGAAGTAATTTCCATACTTGTAATAGATCAGGGCTTTCCTTCTCCCAAATGTTATTGTATAGAAAAGGGGTTTTAAAACAACGGTTGTGAAAATAAAGTCCTTGTTTCTGAATAAGGAGGAAGTACAGCCTGATATTTTTAAAATTCCCCCCCTCCTATCTATGTAATAATAATTATTGTTATTATTATTACTTCCCTTTCTGAATACCAAGTCTTCCATCAGGCCTGGACTTTGATATCTGCCCCTTGGCTGAGAATCTATATATCCAACTTCACACTTAGCTGCAGTGAAGTAGCCCTCCAGGCAGGCTGACTTCAACGAACCACTAGTGGTATCATCATTAAAATCCTGCTGAAGGTCACCATGGCAACCGCCTGCTGAGGCTTCACTGCTGCACGCGGCATCTCCTAATCAGCTACTATGTGAAATGCAAATTCAGACAGTCTGAAAATTAGTCAAGAAGAATAGAGGATGAGGATGCAGGTACGTGAAATATTCATGTGCTTCGTGGAAAAAGGAAGACAGCATGAATGACACAACAAAGAACGGCCCCTGACATTCTTGCTATCATTTTGCATTATTGTTCACACCCTACCATATTTCTAGGCCTCCGGTTCTGAAATTGCCTATATGAAGTGCCATATTTATATTCTGCACAATTGTCATAATTAAAAATGGCCACTGGAAAAAAAAAACAGTTAATTGGAAAAGCTACATTAAGTCAATGCTGCACACACCAGCAAAGACCATCACATCCACTTCATCGTCTTCCTAGTCATCTTTAAAAGCATACATAGAGAATTTCACAGTCAAATTCTCCATGTAATAAAAGTGTGAATATTATACAATGATTTTTTTAAAGAGATCCATACTTTATGGACCACAGTTTTTAATTAATAACTAAAATCTTTAAAACCAATGAGATTTGGAGTTTGGAGTTATATTATTTCCCAATTCCCTAAAGCCAGTGACATTTTACTGTTTACAAAATATGAGGATTTTATATATATTTCTACATAGCTTAATTTATTTTTTCTGCTACTTTACTGTGTTCAAAATTTCAAAAAAAATATGTCCATACATGGGAAAGGAATCACAGAAACACATAGGCATCTATGTATTAGTTATAAGAGATATGAACGTATTCATCCTTAGCAGAAATATTAAGTCTTTTTTTGCTGTATGTATCAAAAGTTTTTATCCTATGACTTTGGAGGCATAACTGTTCCTCGCCAGGGTACTGCATGTTAATGGACAAGAATCTCTGTAAATAATATAAGCATATTTTTCTTCTCTTCTGCAGTTACGTATGAATATACAAATAAGTACTGCATTGATTGTCACAGAAACTGAAAGCATTTCCATTCTCTGCCACCTTTGTCCAAACAACCAAAATTGCTAGAGAAGGAACGGAAAGCATACCACTGGTGCCCATTTTGTTGCAGCATGATGTGGTAGTTCCATGTACATCTCTGAATGCACATTCAGAATAACAGAATAGTAAACAGTCCGTGAAGAAGTACATCATGCTGGAGATATGCCTTGCATTTGAAATACAATTTGTGATATATAAAAAATATGAGGTTTCCAAGATTTTTTTCGTATGTGTGCTTTTTGTTGCTTAGGGCATCATACATACAACAAAATTATTATTAGGGCTACACACGGTATTTCCAAAAGGTTGCTTTGCAAAACCTTAAATCATCCAATGTATTTCAAAACAGTCAGTATCTTCAATTGTCTTCCCACACCTCTGCGTGCACAGCCACACTGCTTTGTTCGTTGTCCCACTGAGATAACCAAGGTAAGTCTTTGAAACAGCCATGCTGAGCTTTTCAGATGACACAGTTGCTTTAATGCTTCAAGGAATTCTTGCTTGCAACAATGCATTTAATGGTGTTCATAAAGTACCCCACTCAAATACTATGCACAGTTCTAGTCATTACTCCTGAACGGAGCGTAACTACTTTTTCATCATATCCATGTAGGCACTTAGATCACAGTAAACTGAGGGAGTTTCATTCTTTCACAATGTTTTCAAAAGGGTAAATAAGAACACCACAGGATATATCATTCAGAAGATATTCTATATAGCTGAAAATCAGAAATTCATGTTGCTCACTGTGGTGTAACCAATCTAAGCAAAGAGGATTTCAGGGTTAACTGCACTCAGTTTAAGCAATTTTCCCCTTATAGCTTGGAATTTTAATGCCTTGCACAGAATTGCAACTATAAAGAAAGCACAAGCAGAAGATATAAAAAGTACTATGTAGAACATTACAGCAGTTCTTTCAAAACCATGGCACATTTAAGGTTCACATTTGCAGCCATATTTAAACAGCATTTTTTTAAAAAAAGAAAGTTCGGTTTTCAGGAAGAAACCAAGTCCTCTCACATTGAAATTAATGAGAGCTGTGCAAGAACATCTCAGCTATGGGAAACTGCATGCCAGATCCTAGGAGAAATAGGATGCTTTTAAAAAGTAAAGCAAGTTCAAACAGCCCACCACAAAGGAAGTTACTTACTTCTTCTGAGTAGTGGTCTGACGGAAGGGGTGGATAATCACATTGTTCTATCTTTTTACATAAAGAATACAAGTTCATTTTGTCACCATAGAAGGGACTTTGCAAGGCAGCCATCTGTGTGGAGTAATAAAAAGGATATACTTTTACATTGGTGTGGCAGAGAAGACTCAGATACAGAGGCTTGGCTTTATTTTTTAAAAAATCCCAGTTTAAATTAGAGGCTAATACTTATTTTCTCTCTATGATATTGGTTTGAGTCACTTACTTCTTACATCTGACGTTCAGCATATTGGATCAGATCGTTCCTATAGCATTACACTCAGCTAACATTCCTGTTGCATAAATTCATTGAAATTTCTTATGTACCCAGAACATTATTCCCAAATTTTGATTAATATAGTATTTTCTCTATATAAAAAAACCAAAAACCATTTACAATCACCTATATATACCATGAAGTTTTAATTAGGAATCAGAGGAGCTTTGGTAGAATTCACCTAGCTTACAAAGGCTCTGATTTTCTTTTTCTCTCATAAATTTTATGCTCCCTGTGACATACCTTGTAGCATGAAAACTATCATATTCTAAATTACAAATTTTCAATCGACAGGTAGAATTATATTCAAAACCAAAAGATGTTTTCTGCATCATATATTTGTTTTATGTTTCATTTAGATATCCTTGTTTAAAATTTATGGGAACTATGAATAGATATTAATCCAAGCTATAACCAATAATAAGCAGTAAAATGAATAAGTTTATTATTTAAAATGAGAATGGGGATAAATATCAATATTTCTGCATGCTCAACTTTCTTCTGTTTTGCCTATAGTCTTGGTCGCTTTTCAACTGGTAAGGACATTTCTGAAGGCTATAAAAGCCATCAACTGGTATGTACTGAAAAATATTAAAAATGTAAGTAGTCATCCATCAATTTAAGACTTAATTTTTTGCAACTATCAAGAAGCACTTTGTTGTCCACAGAAGACAAGGAATGCAATTCCCTGCAAAGAACTGTTTGCTTTACATCCCTCTGAAATTAAACATATGCACTGTAAGGTCTGTTTAAGTTATATTTCTAGTATTTTTCTAATAAAGCATTTAATCTATTGGAGCGGTCCATTTTGCAAACATGATCCCGGTTTTAGCCCCAAAACTCCACATATTTGATATAATTGTTTTTAAAATGTTGGAACTATTATCATTAGTGTCTCCACTGCTTATTTTAAAATGTTATTGCTTGGCTTTTCAAAAGCAAACAAAAAGTGCACCATACTGCTAAGCTTCAAGAGATTTGTACAGAAATGTTCACATTGCCTCTGAAAGCCTTTAAATCTCTGAACCACAGCAGCATGAGCATTGTGTGAAGTGCAGCACTGCCCCAAAGTCAGTCACCCTTTTCTATATGTGCTAATAAGTTTGATTTTGGAAGGACAATGTGTACATTCCCCAGACAGGCAAAGTGTGTGTGAAACACGCTAGTCCATGCTGAGCTACTCAGTGAGCTTCAGCAGGGACAGGACAAGCTGAAAATGGCTCTCATCTGTCTTGTGATCTTTGAGACAAGAGAGTTAACTCCTTCACGACCAAAAAAGGATTCTCATTTTGATCGTGGTGCATAAGGGAATAAAGAAAAAAAAATGAAGAACTAATTAAATTTATAGCAAGAAGATCAAAATTGCATACATTAACTGGATATCGTAATTGATGAAAACTAAAGGTTTGAGACTATCATGGAAAACAATGATTTCCAATTGTATTGCTGCCATAATATTAAATCTTGAAACCACCTAATTCATGCAGTGTATTTTTATTTCAGTGCAATTAAATACAGAATTAGAAAGTTTCACCACCCAATCAGCATGCACGCACAATTGCAAAATAAACACAGAGATACTCATGGTACAAAACACGTGCATTAAAAGTAGTTCTGTTGCAATGTTTTAAAAGAGAGAGAGAGAGAGAGAGAGAGAGAGAGAGAGAGAAAATGAAGGGGGGGGGGGAAGAGAGAGAAAGCTGAATGTCCCCTAAGGAGTTAAAACAGGACTACTATATTTTCATGCATCTCCTGCTTTGACAGATGAAAAATGTCAACTGTCCTGTTTTTATTTTCAAGCTTTTGCACTATTCATCTGGTTCATTAGTGCATCTTGCTGCTGCCCCTGACAGCTGCTCGCCCTCTCCTCCCAGCAGCTGAATTTTTCAGGCTAATTTGATCCTCCACACTGAGACGATCGCTAGAATGATTGACTTGCTCCCTGACCTCCAGGGTCTGACTTTCCTGATTAGTATTCTAGGGGTGTCTGAGGGACGAAAGCCCACTGTCTGTCTTCGGGGCTGGTGGCAATGCTCTCCCCCACCACCTCACTCGCTCATTCTCTTTTTGGAGAGGGGGGGGAACTGTAAGCCACCAACCTACGACCCTGTAAGGATGCAATTACTGTGCTGAACAATAAAGGAAATGTGTAATATCTACTTTTTCATGTAAAGGTCCATGTAGTGGAAGCATGGCACGTTGATTTTAATTAGTAAAGTCTAGCTTGTTGCATATCAATTAACACAGGGTGATTAGAGTGTTTTGAATTGTTTTTTTTAAGCATTTCCAGAATATTTGAAAGTCTAATTTTCTGACTAAAATTAACCTTCAACAACAACAAAAAAGGTAAGTAGTTAAGGAAAGAGGGCAATTTTTAACAGACTGTAAAACCGGCCTTCTCCAATCTGGTGTCTTCCAGATGTGTTGTAACTTCAACTTCTAGAATTCCCAAGCCGCAACACTGGGCATTGCATTCTGAACACATCTGGAAGGCAGCAGGTTGAAGAAATGCTATATCATAGAACAGCGGTGAATAGAAAGCACACTTAATTTTCGATTCAGCTAAAGTCCAACCAGACTGCCAGATATTAATATTAACATTCAAATAAAATATTGGCTGAAGAATTATTTATGGGGAAGCTATGTAATCTTTTAAGAAAATCTCATGCATATGCAAAAAAAAAAATAATTGCCAATTTGAAAGTAATATAAGCCAATGGAACTAATAATATAAGTAACTTAGAAATCCTTAAATGCATTTTATGTTGAATATATTGAGCAAGTCAAGAATAAATTTAAATATTAAATTTGTACCATAATTAAATGGCAGTATTCATGCTTTTCAATCCTCCTATTATTGGAGCTATATTGAGAAAAATCTTACTGTTTTGTAAAGTGCCCTACAATTATTTAATTTTTATTACAAAACTAAAGATCCACAAATTCCTGTTTTTGACAGAAACAATGGCTGAGTAAAAACTGAAGGAGTGAAATAAAATTATGGCCACTTATAATGTAACATAACATTGCTTTATCATTTTGCTTCACAATATGCCATTAATGTGCCCCAATCCTTAATTTGTTTGCTAAATTTTAAGGAAAGTAGAAAATTAAATTCTTTAAAACATGATCTTATTACATAATTATAATTGTCTGTCAAAAAATTAGGTAATATGACAACTGTGAGAAAGAAAAGAATAATGTAAATACAAATCTTAGTTGCTAATTTCATTAATAGTAACAAATAGCAGCACCACAGAAAAAAAATATTTTTGAATAAATCCCAGTTTAAGATATAATAATTAATAAATGTCCAAAATAATGCTCTCATTAAATGTTTATTTCCTTTATAATTCAGTCATCAAGTGGTAGTTGAGATAAGCAATTATATATAGCAGTAATCTAAACCAAATAGTGCTTTCTGTATACATGAGTCCGAGAGAAAGTAATCATTTTACAATTGAATTGTTTTGTTTTGTTTAAAGAAAAACTTGTTATGATACTCAGAAAATCCTAATATTGTAGGGTTTTTTTTCCTTGATAGAGAGTTTTGATGAATTCTGCTGAACTGCAATGAAAGTGATCTATCACTTCACCTTGCATGTAATTACATAAACTTTTCTAGAGATCTTTTGAGTGAAAGACTGCAAGCCAATGGGTAAAACTTTTAGAGCTGGTTATAAACATCCAGAAGGTTTTGGTAGAATTTGGTTATCTTACTGATCTCATTATAATTAACATTTTACAAGCTAGAATTACGACTAGTTTAAACAATTCAAATGAAGGAATACCTTTTCCTGACATTATTTTTCCATAAATCCTTTACCTCTGTATCAAAGTATTAATGATCTTGTGTTTAGTCAATTATATACAAATATTCAGCCCGATATACCATATAAAAAGAACAGAATACTAGTTTCCTAAGCTATCATCAGACTTAGGAAAGTTTAAAGATGTTATACTTTAAAATTCAGAAAACAAAACTTTAATAATTAATGAAATAATAGCTGATACTACAAGTATTGACTGGAGTATGCCCTTGCTAGGTCCATTTCATGTGAAGATAATGTTTTCAATTTCAAATTGTCACCTTGGCAGTTAACCTTGATACTGAAAGATGAAGACTTGAAAAAGATTATTTTGCAAAGTATATGCCCCAAATTTTTACAAATATTTGTATTACGTTCTTTTTATATTGTGAACTAAGGCAAATGTGCAAATTTCACCACATATATCTGTAAAATGCCAGATTTCTTTACTTTCAGACAGTACTAATTTATGGAATGAAAATTCAATAGAATCATAACACAAGTAGAAAAACATTTTGATCAACAAAACATATCAACCAACTTACACGTATTAAAAGTTATCAATCTTACCTCATATAACAGACATCCTAGAGACCAGATATCTGATTTGAAGTTATACCCATTTTCATGGATTCGTTCTGGAGACATATAATAAGGTGTTCCCACTACAACAAATATAAATACATAATAAACAAAAAATTAAATTAACAAAAATGATCTTCCAACATTTGCTTTGGAAAAATTACTATTCAATATTTAAATACAAAAAACTAAACTTCAGTAACTGAAAAATTATTCCAAATAATTTAAGCTTTGTTTTATGAAATTAATTTCATGATAACCTAATTTAAAGAGTAGCAAAGTTTTCCATAATTATCAATAAACCATTTTTTAGCAATTTAGTAATTTAATGTTATATTAATCTTACTAATGTTGTCAATCATAAACTGATAAATTCTATAGGGATATGTTTACTTTTACAGCATTTATTAAATAAAAACATATATTGGTTTTATAACTAAAGAGGTTTCCCATTTATTTTTATTTCCTTCACTGAACGAAATTCATTAGACATATTTTGCTATGTCTACATTCTGTCTTAAAAGCATAGCCAACATACAATTCAATCTTTACATTATTTAAAATAAGCAGAAAAATGTTGTTTCTAAGATAATCAATAAATCTTTTAAAAGGAAATGGCATCTTCATGTTATTAAGGCAAATCTTTTTTTTTAAAGATTTTTTCCTAAAGCAGTGAGTTTATGTATATGTGGATCTGTATGTCTATCTATCTATAACTCCTTTTAACTCATTCTAATGTTTGCCAATTCATAAAATTTAACTAAAATAATAATCAACTGTAGTTAATAGAAACTGAACTGGAAGAACACCAAAAAACAGGAAAGTTTAGCAAGGAATATGTCATCTTGCTCTAACAGGTATTTCATAAGGGATACCAACCTGAGAAGGGTCTCTTATAAAGCATTATACACCTTGAACTGATTCATTATCCCAGTTTCAGAAATAATTTTGTATTTACCTATATAATTATGTACATAAATTTTATTTCTATATAAGATGAAACGTTAGAAATTATTTACATTTCCAAATTGATAACTGATTAATTTGTTTTTAAATAAGTATAGAAACATTTCAAAACAAACACTGCCACAGAACAAAACCTGAAATTTACATTATCTTGCGTTTTGTGTGGAATACATCTTGAAACATGTTAAATATTCTGATATAATATGGTAACATGGAATAAACTTTTTTCCCTTGTTTTTTTATGTCACACAGTTTCATAGCAAATCATCATAACAAGTTAACAGAATCTGCAGTTTTAGGGCCTTTTTGAAAAGTGACAACCTCACACAAAGTAAAAACACAAATTAAGAAAAAAAAACCTACCTTATCAAAACCTAACAAATGAAATTTTGTCTCTGCATTCTTAAATATACCTTTAATTACACATGACCTCATACACAGATGAAGGATCAATAAGCCATAGTAGAACCTTTAATTTAAATGCATTTTAAAAACAAAATACAAAAATATACTCTGAATGTAAATTGCAAACATACCAAATGGTTTACTCTATTATTTGCATTAAGAACTTACTATCTAAACTTTCCACATCAGCAGCACTTCTGTGAAGCATGATAGTGTAGATATAAACTTTTACATTTACCTAATGGTTATTTATGTGGATTTCATTATAGCATAAGTACCACACATTTTCTTACCAGGTAAGCAAGAAGTTTCAAGTAAAATAATTTCCTTATCTCTGGACAGGAAACTGCTATCCAGAAAAATCTCCCAATTAATATTATCTGTGTATTAAGACTAGTCTCAAGGCAGTCTCAGGTCCAATACACTCTGCTTGATTCAGTGATTCACTCTGCATGAATCAATGACTGCTGGCAGTTAATGAATGGGCATACGCTTTTGGAAGAAGGGACCACAGGTGGCTGGATAAGGCATATAGAGAACAGCTCCTGAATGGTTTAGTGCACGGGTGTCAAACTCACCACGTCATGTGACATGTCGTGACGTATCGTGACTTTTTTTGCATTGCCCAAGCTGGGGTAGCTGCAGCCTCTACATAATGTAACCAGCCCGCGGCCCGGCAGTTTGACACCCCTGGTTTAGTGATTGAAAACCTAACCCAAATGATTCCTAGACTGAGATTCCTAGTCTCCCGGTGGATATCACTCAAATGTTGTGAAGTAGAAATTATGCTTGAATCACTCAGGAAGGGGAAGGATTCTCTATGATTGAGCCAAGTGTACTAGCATTTGCAGGTCAGCATTCATCCAACTCTAGGCAGTGGGCAGGTGGCTGCCAAAGATTTGGAAGACAAGGTAAGAGAGTAGCCCAACCTGTTTTCAATGGTCAGACCCCAATAGTGGAAGCAGAACAGATTCAACTTAGGAATTAACCATCAAGTCAACATCAAGCTGTGGGCAGAGTGACAACATAACATGTGCTGAGAAAGAAGCACTCTCTTCGGAGGAACACTGATTGGTGGGCAAGATAAGTATTCTTGTCCACAAATGAACACTGTGTAAAGTAAGTCTATCTGCATGTCTTCTTCTGGTTCATCAACATAGTGCAAAATTCTCCTGAGTTACAGCTAGCCAGACACCATCTTTTTTCTCCTTAGCAAGGTCCCATGTATGGAGGTACTCGAACAGGGATCAATATGCTTAAGCTTATCAATAAAATCCCTAAAATCAAGGCTCTGGCTTAAACTTGATACACTAAATGGCAAGAAGCTGCCACATTCAGCAGATCAAAATGGTACAGGCCTCCTGGCTATTTTAAATCCTTTCATATTTTTGATGCTGAGTCAAAAATTCTCCAACGAAGGAACTCAGAAATTTAAACAATCTGCTAGAATTTAGGATTTAGCATTCTGAAAAGGCCACCTAATCCAACACATATCTATTGATGAGTCCTCCAGCTACGCTGTTGTGTTCTGATTAAACTTCTGATTGTGCATATTGTTTCCCAAGAAGAAAAATTAAGTAATTCTGGTTTCAATTTGAAGAGAATTGCTGAGAAAAGACTTGGAAAAGGTCAGCCTAACAGTGAGGTTTACAGGTTCATACTTTATCAAAAGCAAAAGTATCTTTTAACCAGTCATTCTCCAAAACCTATTGTTACATTAAAGGAGTGAGAAGATACTGATAATACACGAAGAAGAGAATCAATGCTTGCATTTTGCAGAATTTAACTTAGCTTAGCGTCCATATTAACTAGAATGCAAATTGAAGTTTTTCAATACTATCTTTCTACTAAATCCTCAAAAATACAGGTTGTCCTCAACTTACAACAGTTCATTTACTGACCTTTTGAAGTTGAGACGGCACTGAAAAAAGTGACATATGACTGTCTTTCACACTTACGACCATTGCAGCATCCCTTTGGTCACGTAATAAAAATTCAGATGCTTGACAACTGACTCATATTTATGATGGCTGCAGTGTCCCTGGGTCATGTGATCACCTTCTGTGACCTTCTGCCAAACAAAGTCAGTGGGGAAGCCAGATTCACTTAACAACCATGTTACTAACTTAACTGTAGTGATTCACTTAACAACCGTGGAAAGAAAGGTGGTAAAATGGGGCAAAATTCACTGAACTGTCTCGCTTAGTAACATAAATTTGGGGCACAATAGAGGTCGTTAAGTCGTGGACTACCTGTAAAAGCCATATCAATTTAGCCCCAAAGACAATGATGTCTTTTAAGAGCATTCAAAAAGCATTCAAAAAAGCATTCAAAATCATTCAAGCAAAGGGTGAGGTGGGATATATTAAAATATTTAGCAATAATTTCTGTAAACATGGATAAAAGCAATTTACTTTTACGAAATGCATAGTAACAAGTAATGGATGGATGGTAGCGTAACTTTGTTTTTACACAGATTGAACAAAGTACACTGTGAGGTGACCATCAGCCATAAAGCCTAGAAATGAAGTATTGTTTAGAGTAAAATATATCTATGCATACCAAATACTGCTAACAACATGCCCATTAGGTTTTGCCTCTCTAGAACAAAATATTAGACCTGGTCTGACTTGGGAAATTCCAGTGATAGGTATTTAAATCTTAAGCTAAGAAAAACATTACTTGGATTTACATGATAAGCAATATGCATTACTGTATAATCTTGATCAATGGCACAATCTTGTGACCACAGTTTACAATGTTTCTTTGCTGGAAACTGTTATTTACCGTGTTTCCCCAAAAATAAGACTGGGATATTTTTGGACTTATTTTCAGGGGATGTCTGACTTTACGACCGCCCATTCACTCGATCCCACCATCTGGTTGCTCACGGTTACAACGGGGCAGGAAAGCTCGCATCACACTTGTGCTGCCATGAGGTGAGGTGAGGCAGATTGGGGGGATAGAGCTGCCCCACACTCGCTTACCTCCAGCCCAGGGACAATGTAGAGAACCTACCACCGGCCTCCAGAGCTGCCATCATTGAAACCATACAATATAGGCAGCAAATGGGCAGCAGGCAACGTGACGCAATTCTGCAGGACCTAAGCGGCAGGTGGAGGAGACTGCCGCCGCCAGGCAGGTGATCTGCAGGGCAAAGTGGAGCCGGCAGGGACCAAAGAAAGCCCCTCCAACGATGGACACAACTGATATGCAGCAGCGGCACAGGCCTTTCACCATCACTTCCCCCCAGGCTCCGAAACGGCGGAGGGGAACCGGGTAAGGTGACAGAGTCTCCCCCACCCATTCTCCATAGCACGGCAATCCGGCTCAGGAGGGGAGTGAAAGGGAAGAGGTGGGCAGGCAGCTGGGTCATTGAATAGGTAGGGGGAGGTCACCAAGCAGGGAGTGGCCTGGTTGCAGGAGCCCTGAGATAAATGGGTGCAGGGCGCATGAGGCAGCTCCAACCCCCCACCTGCCTTGCTTCACGTCATAACAGCACCAGTGAGATGTGTGCTCTCCTGCCCATTATGACCGCAAGCAACCAGACAGGTGGGATGGAGTGGGTGGGGCTCTTAACTAGGGCTTATTTTTGGAGGACTTATATTAGGTGCACGCTAAAAATCATGCTAGGGCTTATTTTCTGGGTGGATCTTATTTTTGGGGAAACACAGTATTACCAGTTTCCATTATAAAACACTCATTGTGGACAATAAATCTAACTTAACAACCAGGGTGATTTGCTTAACCACAGTGATTCACTTAAAGACTACTTCAAAAAAGATGTAAAATCGGGTACAGTTATGTGGTGATCCACTTATAACTTACGAATGTAATTCCAGGCTCAATTACAGGTAGTCCTCGACATACGACCACAATTGAGCCCAAAATTTATGTGACTAAGTGAGACATTTGTTAAATGAGTTTGCCCCATTTTAAGACTTTTTTTGCCCCAGTTGTTAAGTGAATCACTACAGTTGTTAAATTAGTAATATGTTTGTTAAGTGAATCTGGTTTCCCTATTGACTTGGCTTGTCAGAAGGTCACAAAAGGGGATCATATGACCCCAGGACAATGCAACTATCAGAAATATGAACCAGTTGCCAAGCAGTTGAATTTTGATCACATGACCACGGGGATACTGCAGTGGCTGTAAGTGTGAAAAACAGACATAAATCACTTTTTCAGTACACTGAAACTTGGAACAGTCATTAAATGAACTGTTGTAAGTTAAAGACTGTCCGTACAGTAGTAGGTTGAGTTCTATCTGTAATTGGTTTTGGACATCCTTTGGGATGCTATAACACTGTACTGGCCATGGATATCTCTTTACCAATCCTTGATCTACTATACTGAAAACTACCGCATTAAGAGGAATAGTTTTAGACAAACTTTGTAAAGGAAAGGGAGCAAAACACTATACAAATTCACCATAAGCGAATAGGAAAGCTTAATGTGAAACAGAATCGTCTTCTGGATGAAAGCAATATATCATTGGTTTCACGCTAACACTTTTGGAAGAAGAAATTAGCTTAATGGCACTTGACAAAAACTAACCCACTGCTGCAAAAGACAAGAATATCCCAATGAGTGCACATCACACATTACTGGACTTGAGTGGATGAAGACCAGCTGAAAATATAATGATTTCTAATATTTATTTCCGAAGCAGCAAAAGATACTGCAGTGTCTATAAGATAATAAAGATATTTCTTTTCTTCTCAACCAAAGACAGACCCATATAGATTCATAAAAACTATCAGCTGTTAAGCAAAAGCAGAGCAGCGCACGAGGGCATGAAACCAAGAAAAAAAGTCTGCAATAGTAGCTCAAAGGCCAGATTATAATACAGCGTGATGACTAAGCAGAGTAGGGGGCCAAAGATTAGCTGTAAGACCTGTGGCTCTGAATCTACTTTGCAACAATTAGGAAATCAATCAATCAATAAAAATCAGTAAAGACCAAAATAAAGTGCACTGCTTCAGGGTCCAGATTAAAGTGGTACCTGGAAAAATATTAATGGTCTGACAACGAATGTGGGTAAAAAGCAGATGGCCCACCAAAGATTGTGTGTGAAAGGGAGGTTTGTTTTGCTTACTAGACAACTCTTAAATTTAGGATGGCCAGACATCCTGTTCCCAGCTCTGCACATGATATATTACTAACTGCTTGTCACATGGTGTATCTAAATTGCTTAACACTTGATATATTACTGATTGCTAAAAGCATTCCAATGTAAACGAGGAGCTATCGATTATAGATCTGTCTAGTAGTTTTCCCATGTTAGAATAAGGACCTATAGAATGTAACCATGTGAGGAATGTGACCTGCTCAGGAAATAACTCTGCTTGAAGGGTTATAAAAATGGTCATCAATGGCCAGGCTTTTGTTCAGATTCTTTAGCCATGATGGCTCTCTGAACCTGCGCAATAAACTTCCCTTTCCTGGAAAGAGCTGACTCAAGTCTTTCAATTCTACAACAAGATCATCTGTGTACATCAAGCCAGTTTGGTAATATGGGTTTAGGCTAGATTGTAAGTGTGAAGCTAGCTTTGCTCAGTGAAACCAATGGAGTTTTATTATTGTTTTCTTTTTACTAGGGTACACCATATTTTAGAATCTCTAGTCTTCCTTAACAGTTTACATGACTAGTCTCTCTATACGATTAATGCAGGAATGTATGATCCAAGCACATGCCCACTTAAGTTATCTTACATGGTGAATGTATATAGGGTAATAGTAGGAAATCTTGACAAGAGGAATCTCCTCTTGCTTTGAATCTCACCGCACCAATAAAGACATTTCTTGTAGAAATATTAAGTCTCTACCATAGGCTGCATTAAACAAGCATTCAAACCAAAAACAAAGACTGACACATCTGAAAAACTGCATTGTTTTGTGAAGTAATCTATTAAAATCCCATTCAACAAGAATGCCATCAAAATCAGTCATAACAAAAACAGCTTAATTTTGAATGGACGTTTTTCAATCTATGCAAATGAAATTTATTTAACAATTAAGCATATTTTAATCTATGTCAATAGACAGCTAAATTCTTTAACTAAGAATACATCAAACAAAAGGTCTGCTGCATATACAGTATTCTAGATGTGTACCATTAACTTCCACTTTTAATTATAAATACAAAGAAATCTTTCTGACCTAGAGAATGTGCAGCTGTGGTTTTAGAGCTGAAAAATCTTCCCAAGCCAAGATCTCCAAGTTTTACTACTCCTGTAGCAGTAATGAATACATTTGCAGGCTTAATGTCTGTAAGAAAAAACAAAGTACTATATAATGCTATACTTTTAATAGAAAAGCCCATTATTAAGTATTATATTAAGTTTTATTGTTTGTTCAATTTTCGTTTCCTTTTTTAAAAATACAACAAAAATACTATAAATTATTTGTTTCATCTAGTGGTTAAGACACCAAGCTAGAAACCAGGAGGGTGTGAATTCTAGTCCCGCCTTAGCTTTGAAAATCAGGTGGCTGAGTTTGAGCCAATCACTCTCTCTCAGTCCAGACCACCACACAGGATTGTTGTTGGGGGTGGAATAGGAGGAAGAAGGAATATTAGGTGATATGTTAGCGGCCTTGGGTTATTTATAAAAATAATATAATTAGGATAAAAATATCTAAACAAATGATGAACTATTATCTGTGCCAAGTAATATTCCAACTTCAAGCATAATTGAATTTAACATGCAAGTTACTAATTAAAATGTGTTTATCTTTGAACTAATTTTAGGGTGAAATCCTTTATCCACTTTTAGGGAATAAATGCTATGAATTCAAGAGGGCTTGCTTCTATAAAGAAATGAATTGAATTCTATAATTCTGTTTAGTTCTATAGGTAGTAAAAAAAATGATGAAAAAATTGATTGAGGCAGGCAATAAAACTCATTAAAAAATAGACAAATGTAACTAGAGAATAGAGAATATGTCAATGTTTTTTTTTAAATGACATAGATACATAGAAGGCACCATCACTTGTCTTTGTAGCTCATGTAATATATACTGCAGTTCCTATATTTGTACAACAGTAGTTGGAATGAAATGCAACTTATTACCTCGATGCATGACACGACGGGAATGCATATGTTCCAAGGCACTGCACAGCTGAACAAAGTATTTCCAAACTGTCCTTTCTGGGATCAGCCTCTTCTGCTTCTTAAAATGCTTTGAAATAATAAAATAATACTGCAATCTGGATTTGTTATTCAGTAATGATGCAGAGAACTATTAAAATAAACAAGCCTTCAGCTTTTCAATCGAGAAATCATTAACACAACTGAAGAGGCAGGACCACATTTAACAAAGAGAAAGATGGTTCCTCTTTCCATGAAAAGAACAAGAATTCAAGAAAACAGCTTGAATCAAAGGAAAAGTCTGATAGGGTAAGATGAGACGGAAACTTATGTGTAACTTAAGCTGAACCTTTACTTTCACAAGTGATAAGCCCTCATTTGGTTATGTCTATCTTCTCTCCAAGTTTAATGAATATAATTAGATATTAGATCATGGCTTAGAATAATATGAATTATATAGGCTCACACATTCGCTTCCTGGTGCATTCTTCAAGAACAACTATATACAAGAAATAAGTCGCTGTTTCAATTTTTTAATTAACCACAATTTAATAGTATTTCTGAATCTTAAATTGCAATTAATCTTAATAATCATTGGTTGACACAGCACCAAAAACCATGATTTAATCTACACTATGATTTAAGTCTAGCCAGTGTTGTCCCAATTCTTTTTTGTTATATATATTTAAAATATATATTGCCCTTTCTCCAAGAAATATACATGGGTTTGCTCCAATATTTTCCTCTTAACATCCCCGGAGGGACAGCTTAGGCTGAAAGAAAAATGCAGATGAATCTGTCCGTATAGAAATACCAAAATGACTCTCAATAGGTAATATTTAAAGAGCACCTAGTATGTTCATTTATATATGCACAGTATATGCATACATATATGTACATATATATTAAACAAGTGTATGGGAGACACTAAATGCTGAAAGATCAACTTAACTAAAAAAAAGCTAAACTAAAGTAGGGCTATTTCATCTGAAACTGAAACTACAGAAGTTTTGTGATTCAGAATTCAGAAGGACACAGGACACCTGAAAAATATTTTCCTAATATTTTCCATTTGGAAAGTGCCAACAAAGAAAAATCTGAAAGTGGAAGATGGGAGTTAAAACTGTCTGATCATAACTAAGCTTTACTAAGGATCTTCAGTAACAGATTGATTTAAGATTATTCCAGTATTCAGCGATTTATTTTTTAAAAAAACTTTTATAGGAGTCTAACAATCATGAGGATGCCTCATTGCTTGGAACCCCTGGATGGTCATGCCTTTTCACTGCTCTCCATCCATCATTTAAGCCATTCCACTCTGCTTTCTAAGAGCATTTCCTAAGAGCACAAAGGCCTTCAACTGTTTTTATTCATTGTAGTTTGCTTGTCCCTGCATCTGGTACAGGCCAGATCATGGTAGATAAGCAATCTAAGGATTGTATTTTGGCCCCTCTTGCTTCACTAGTCAATTTGGTCTAGTAGTTAAGGCACCAAGGCTAGAAACCAGGGGACTGTGACTTCAGATCCTGCCTTAGGTAGGAAAGCCAGCTGAGTGACTTTGAGCCAGTCATTCTCTCTCAGCCCAATTTACCTCACAGGGCTGTTGTTGTGAGGAAAATAGGAGAAAGGAATCTGATGTACGTTTGCCGCTTTGAGATATTTATAAAAATAATAAATTTAAAAAATCTAAAAAATAAACCCCCAAGGAGTTTTCACTCAGGTTCATCAATTTCTTTCTTAACCAATTAAATAAACTAGGCTTTGATCATAATCCAGATCTGAATACAGGTATTACTGATAGTTTGATCAAATTAGCTTTTGAAGGGAATCCTGTTAGCCTGGCTTGTGGCAAACAAAACATTTATTAGTGGGTAAAATAAATAATTGTAGGGAGAAAGTTTCATGCAATAGAAAACAGGAAGATGGAAGATTCAATCCTGTAACTTGTTTTTTTACCCCCTCAATTGCCATTTGAGAGAGCAAGAGAGTGATGTTATGGCTGAGCTTTCCTTAAGACAAACAGCAGTATAAAATATTTAAAAGTATTTTATATTTATTTTTATATCATTTCCTTTTACAATTTTTAAAAGCTCAAATGAGGCAATTAAATGCCAGTTCCCTGAATGGTGCCATGGCTGAGACCTGGATTGAATCCAAACAAATTCAGTGAACTGTTGTCCCTATAGCTAAAATTTGCATATCAGAGAATTGTTTGATGTTGACAAGAAGACAGAGACCAGAATTCTTTTTATATACAAGTGAATACACAGCTTCAAGAATATGAATATAAAGCGTACTTCTTTGTTTTAAAAATTATCCCTAAAGATTTTAGCATGTACTTCTAAACAAACTTCCCTATTTACAAAAAGCTTACCTATCTGGATATCCCATCCCTCACTTTAACAGTATAATATGTACGTCTATATTTGTATCTGTGTTCTGCTTTGTGTTTATTTATGTTGGGATACTGCATGGAACACATGCAGTATCCCAACATAAATAATTGACTATGGTAAATTCACTTTGTGGTAACTCTAGTCACGTAGAAATATCAAATAAACCAAATTTCTAAATCTTTATTTGCCTGACCTGAATGGAAAATGTTTTAAAAAGATCTGCATGGCTACTTCCTTAACCTGCAAAGAGAACCTGTTGGATTGGGAGACAAACTTAATTTGATCCAAAAGAGGAAATTTCATCTTCCTTGAAAGCATGATGAGGAAGGATTCTTTTTTTTCCTAACCTGAATCAGAGGCTAGAATTTGGGCAGCCTAGTGATGCAAACTAATTTGGACATTAGTGCATACAAACTTAGCATTTGTAGGTAGTTCTCACAAATATTCACAAACTGTTCAGCAAATGTTTGAAGTTATGATGGCGCTGAATTAGGAGAGTTACAGCCCGTCCTTGAAGTTGTGTCTGTTGCAGCATCCCCAAAGGCAAATGGTTGCATTTTGAGAGCTTGGCAACCAATGCACATTTATGAAGTTGCAGTATCCCATCATCATGTGATTATCATTTGCAGCATTCACTGTCAGCTTCTATAAGCAAAATCAGTGGGAAAGCTGGCAGGAAATTGCAAGTCATGGTTGTGCTTAATGACATGAATTTACTTAAAGACAGAAACTGTCAGAAGTGACATCATAAACTGACACAGTCATGTGCTTTCTTGCTCTACGCCAATGTTGCTTAGCAACAGAGTTTGCAGTCCTAATTACTGTTAACGTCTGTACTTCCATCTTTGAACTTGACTGGTTACTAGCGATGCAGCTAAGAGGAATTCAAAACTGACTGAGCAGAGACAACAAAAAATTCAGCTTCACTCATTGAGACAATACAAAATTTAAATGACTATGCCATTTACAACAAACTACCACCTGACTTTGAGAAATCTTCCTTTGTCTGTTTTAGTTAAAATAAAATCAACTGGACTCAATAAAAACAAATAAGCATACAGCACCACAACAGAAAAATCCAAAGACTGATCTCATAATGAACTATAGTAGATGTTTTAACAACGAAAGATATATTCCTGGCATCACCAGACAGAGCTGGAAAAGGCATTATGAAAGCAACATGCATTCTTGATCCTACGAGATTGTTCTTAAAAACCTCCAATGTTTCAATTTTTAAAAAAAAAAAACCCATCAACCATAGTATGATGAACAGTGGAAATGACTGGTGAATTAATATAACTCTGTTATTAGGAAAAGTAACATAATATGATTTAGTAAAATAGCTCCATTGTAATACTAAGAGCTAGAAACTAAGAGAGATTCAGGATAGATGGTGGTATATTACTGCCTGATCTAGCATATTATTAGAAATGCTATTTACTTAAGAAATGGAAAAAATATGGCATTTTAGTATAAATTAACTGGGTTTTTCTTGAGTTGGAACCTAGCAACATGTGCAGGGAAGATAAGGGGGTCAAAATGGGAGCAATATTGTTGCATGAGCACCTCCCTTTTTGTGTTCTTTGTAACACTGCACAAATGGGTGAAACTGGCAATCACAGTACTGCTGTCGTCATTCTAACAAAACAGGAAGATCATTATATTAAGAGAACACAAACAGGTTGGCAAATGTTCCTTTTAGCACGTAAATTAAGAATTGGCATTCAAGTAAATAGAAACAGTATATTATCTACTGTACCCACAAATCTCTTTGAAAGAACAGGCTATTTAAAACAAAACAAAACAAAACAAAAGAAGCTGGCGTAATAAAGACACAAAAATCGACATCAAACAATAATTAGAGGTAGCGTCAGAACTCGTAGCAACAAATACACAAGTAAACAATTCAAGGAGTTATTTTTATCTTCCTTAAGAAAATCATCACCATCTTGAGGTCTTGCCATCTAGTTTTATAGCTGCTTAATTCAGTACAAGAAATATTATTTTAAAAAGAAGATCAGAGAGTGAATTTGGAGGGCATAGACCTTGTATTAATTGTGATTTGAGGAGGATTGTGGAATTGTTTCCAAATGCAGAGAAGAAGGTAAAGTTGAAGATATGTGAGTTTACAGGTAGTAAGTCTTACGACCACAATTGAGCCCAAAATTTATGTTGCTAAGTGAAACAGTTGTCCCATTTTACAACCTTTCTTGCCATGGTTGTTAAGTGAAACACTGCCATTGTTAAATTAGTCACATGGTTGTTAAGTGAATCTGGGTTCCCCATTTACTTTGCTTGTCAGAAGGTCTGTGAGGTAAGGTAGTAGATTCTAATAAGGTTTTCTTCTTTTCTTTTCTTTTCTTTTTTCTTTTCATACCGTTAGCTGGAAATGCTGCCAAAGAGCAACATATATTAGAAGAGGCAGGGGAGGAAGCTGGTTTTAGTTTGACAGTGAACCCACAATATAGCTATAGCAGCAGTACTTTTCAAACTATTATTCAACTCTCACATCAGTACAGAATCATTCAGATTATCAAGATGGTTTACACAAGAAGGTAATTCAAATATATGCCTACTTTTTCTGGTTGCTCCTGCTAGCTTCAAACCTACTCAGGCTTTTTGAGGATTAGAATTTACATAGACTTCACTGTAAAGAAGGAAAAGAATTACTTTTTCATCCTATTATTGTGATAGG